GTTCAATACCATACAAGGGTCAAGTGAAATTTAGCTATCAGTGCTACAAAGATATATCTATTCCATAGTGATGATCTGGTACTCCAGTATGGCCATAATAAGGAATTGATTATTTATCATACCTATAACAAGACAAAAAAATTAGCCCAATATGTAAGCTGACTATCAAAAAACAGGTTCCAACAAGACAAGACTAAGTGGTACGACATCCTTAATCAAGACCAATCCCCTATCTGAGTGACAAAGTTGGATAGTATATGTTTCAGTGTTAAAGAAAATACAAGACAGGTTCCTCAAAAGAGGCAAAGATGGATTGCTATAAAAAAATAGATGATAGCAAAAAACAAGACAGGTTCCCCATAAAAAATGTATGTGTTAACAGAAGTCATAAAGATCCTGTATAAGAGACCTCTGACACCGGTGGTAATAGATATCTTAGGCAAGTTCTTGACACATTAGCCCCCCTTCACAGGGATAGTAATAAGTCATCTGATGGACTATGGTTCTAGAGAGTGTCACTTCAGTTGAATGAGATTATACAAACATAGTTTAAAACTGATTGATACCCTATTAAATTGGTAAGTTAAAACACCCTCAGTACCTCTGATTTTATTAAGAATTAAAAAAAAATCCTATACTAGATGGTTATATAGTTTCCCTATCCTGGTTGAGTAAGATGTAAATAGATACCCCTTGTACTATTTGTTGATCTGCAAATCCTTAGATAGTATGGGTAATTACTTATCCCGGTTATTTCTAGAATCTATCTTAATAATTAATAAAGGTTCTAATACTGGTGCAGAAATGGGTTAGTGTGTTAAAAAAAAAAAAAAAAAGTTATTAATATTAAATAAATTGTCTATAAGAAAACTTAACCTATAATATATAAACAAATAAAATATATTGTATGTAATCAACAAGAAAAAACTATAGAACACTTGCTAGAATGCTTAGCTTACAAAAACCAACTACAAATAGTATAAAATAAAAGTAATTTATAATTTCTTTGATGATTAAATAAAAAAATTTTTAACTATTAACTAACTTTATTATCTTAAATTATTATTACAAATTATTGTATGAGATTTTAATAAAACTTAAAATCAAATTACTTTATTCTATATTTGATTTCTTTTATTAAAATTTCTTTAAGACTTCTATCTTCTAAGTTTTCTTTTTCCAGTAATGACACTATTCTTATTAAAAATATAGTTTTCAAACCTAAGGAACAAAAATATTTTTTAGTCTTGTTTTTTTTGCAATTTCTTTATATTTGTTGTTATTCAATTGTTTTTGTTATATTTTATATTTAAAGATTCTTTTTTATAGACTCTTACTTATATTTTTATTATTTATCTTCTTATTTTTTTTTTCTTATTTGTTTTTTACAATATTTTAAGTCTATTATTTTTTGAATAAAATTATTTCCAATAAAGTTGATACAAAAATTTATAATGTTTAACTAATTTTGAAATCTATTTTATTAATCTAGAGATTTACTTGTTTAGCTTCTTTAATTTTTTATAGTTATTTATAATTAGCTTGATACTTTTTTCCTTAGCTTTCTTTCTTCTTTTTTATAAGAGTTCTTTGAAGTTTCTGAGAATTTCTTCTATTTTTTTATTCAATATTTTTTATATTTAATTTTTATAAATAAGCATTTTAGCAAGTGTTTTATTATTTTATTTTATTGATTGCATATAATATATTTTATTTATTTATAAATTCCAGTTTTTTTATAGCCAGTTTACTTATAATTGATAGTTTATTATTAATCAGTTTGATAAAAAACTTCTTTGTTAAGATTATTTAAAAGATATATTATATATATATATATATATTTTATTCTTTTTTATATTGGATTCTATATATAGATTTGTTGTTTTAAAATTTGATAACTTTATTATTTATTTGTTTTATTTTATTATATTTATTGATAAGCTATTATTCTATTATTAATATTCTTAATGAACTGTTTAATTGAATTATCTAAAATTATATCGTAATACTTTATTTCTATAATAATCTTGTATAAAATAAGATTTTTCTATTTTATTAGTGAAAGTTTTAAGACTTCTTTGATTAAAGCATTTTTTTATTATTATAAGAATTATTAAAATATATCTAACTTTAATAAATTTAAAGTTTATATTCTTTTTTTTGTATTAATTCAACTATTTATATTCAAAAAAATAAAAAATTTTTTCTTTAACTATCTTTTATATATTTTTCTTAGATTTTTTTTTTATAATTTTTTATTTTAAAATATAGATCTAACTGTCTATATAAATCTTAATAATATTATTAATAAAAACTATTAAAAGTATAGTTATTATTATTATCAACTCAACTCTTGTAAATAAGAATTAATTTGTTTTATAATTGATAAGCAATTTATTGAAATAAAAGTTTGAATTTTATTTAAATCTAAGATTATATTAAAGTATCATTAATAAATAATCTTGATATACTTATTTTATAATATTTTTTTTAATAATAGTTTTTTTCCAAGATTCAATATTTATGTAATTTATTTTGTTATTTTGAGAAAAGATTTTAAAAGAATTTTGGTTTCTGTAAATTACTTTTTTAATTGTTTTTTTCAATATTATCTTTAGATTTGAAATTGTTACTTTCACATTCTTCTAATAAATTTTTTTGTATTAAAGTATAATATAATAGTATTTGACAAAGATTTTTCTTTTGTACTAGGTTCTGGATTTAATTTCATAATGGTTAGTTAATCATTTTAGTTCATTTTCTTATAAAAATAAACTTTTGTGACTGAATTATTTTTTATATCTTGATAGCTGCACTAAAATTTGTATATATGATTGCTTTTCCATTTTCAGATATTGTTAAAATTGCAATATATTTTTAACTTTAAAAATTTATTTTTATATATTTTATTAGTTTAATTACTTGAAATATAAAATTATCTCTATTTGATAAGTAATTTGGTAATTTACAAATTAATAGATTAAATAGTTCTCAATTTTAGTCTATATTATTTAAATCTAATAATTGTTATAATTTCTACTAATTCAAAATTATTTATCTATTGTAAAGTCTTGATATTTGACTTTTTTGCTATAACCTATAGATAAAGATGGGTTTCTAAAGGGGGAGGCAGGAATAAAAGTCAAATATTCTTTATTAGAAAACATTAAAATTTTTAAATTAATAACTATAAAAAAATTATTCACAATTGTTCTCCATTATTTAAATCATTGATTTATAATATTTTCTGATTTTTGTTTCTATTAAGATGAAAAATTATGAATTTTGTTCATCAAAAAAAGACATAAGTGATCTGTAAAATTTTATATGCTAAATACTTTAGGGACCTATCATTACTTATAAATCAATAGTACATTGGATAGTTTTATGAAATAGATTTTTGAAAAAAGTTAAAAATTTTTTATTTTCTTATTAACATACTTGTTTATTATTTTCTTTTTTTTTTTTTAATCCATTTCCTTAGTAGTTTTTTATATTTCAATACCTTAATAAAATATATAGTAATGACAATCTACTAATAATAAAGTAATTAATAGACTAGAAGAGTATTTATCTAAAGTCTATTGTAAAGTGAAATATTATTCTCAAGATCAAACTTAGAGACTATTATTGTTTACAACAAGTTTGTCAGATTTGATAGTAATATTTAACTATAGTATATATTATATTGCTCAAGAGAAAATATACTTATGTTTTCAAAATGATTAATAAACTATAAGCTAGCCTGACTGCAGGTATTAAAATTTTTATAAGAATATGAAAGAAAATCTTTATTAAATACTGTATAATATAAATACAGTATATTAAATAGATAACAATTTTAATAAATAGAGGTCACTAGTATCAATTATACAGTATATATGACTGCTGTTGACTCAATTAGTTTCATCATGACTCAATATGACTCAATTAGTTTCATCATGACTCAAGGATTCATAAGTTTTTATCACATGTATAGTACCAATCTTTTAGAGAAGTGAAATACCGTTTCCCTTAATCTGACTTAGGGTATCTAGTCGAGACTTTGTCTTGTTTAGTTTGAACTAGTTTAGCGGACTCCTCATATTTTTAAAGTGATGTAGCCCTTTAACTAATAATATACGATGATTTCATATAATATATACAAATATTTTAAAACACGAAATTCAATCGAAAATTCAGTTAGTTATCTCTCTTGAACTAAGAGATTACTAAATTTACCAATCTATTTATTTAGTTAGGGAAAAAGCGTTTTTGAAATAGAAAATTTAAAACTATAGAAAAAATTTTTCTTTGGATCAAAAAACAGAATCGGACCATAAAAAAAAAATAAAATTAGTCGATTATGATTCGGTCAGGAATGCATGAATGCAATAACAGCTTTTTGGTCTAGACTTTAAAAATTCTCCGGATCTTACACATTTATCTTTCGGCATCGGATCGGTGTATTACAAAGTGTCGAACATAAATTCACGCGTTTACAGTTGGTGTAATAATCGGTTCAATATCCATTATTTGGATATTGCCTTTATTTTAATTTATTGGTTAAATTTGGACTCGGACGTTAATAGGGGATGACATTGTCACCATTTTATCATCAGTCCTTACATGAATGTATCCTGCACGTGTATTGGAATCTTTCGTTTCTTTTTGTTGACGTATAAATGCTATCTGCTATCTGGTGGTTTATAACGTAACGTTTTTATCGGAGTTTTAGTTGATCGTGTTATACATGTTGCGTTTCGGTTGTCTCGTATATTCACGTTCAGTATAAACATACTGCAAAGGTTACACTAACCGAAAGTGTTTGACAAAATTTTAAAAACAATGATGTCAGCACGAATATGTTGGTAATAATATTTCCTTATAAATATTCTCAACGGTATTTCCATAAAAACCTGTCAGTTGATTGGTTTGTAATTTTAGGATCTATAAAAGAAAAGTCTCCATTATTCCTCTAATCACAGAGTCACTCATCTTTCTGCAATCGACAAGTTGTCATGACAAACTCGGGAAATGGAAGGAACGAAATGACTAGGAATCTTCGTAATTCCTCTGTTCCTTCAGAACAAGATCATTCCATCGCTGATGCCTTTCGTGAAATTTTGCAGACAGCCGATCCTGGAGCGATCCTTTCGACTACCTGGGGGGAGACTCAGGGGGGAGACTCATACAGACCCCGAGGAAACGCTCGTAATCAAACTGAGGTTGACAGTGACAATTTTTCTGCTGACGGAAAGGTCAGAGGTCTTTTTAATCGTTCACAGTGGGGAAATACCGCAAGAGCCCAGGAGGATACCAGTAATAGGGAAAAGAACCGAAAGAGTGAAGATAACGATGGGCGCATTTACTCGACAAATAACATCAGAAATAATGATACTTCCGATGATTGTTATGTGAGTAATGGAGGTTACCGTGATTCTAGCATGGGTATAAACACTAGTAGGTCAGATAGCATTGACAATTATACGAACAATACTTCAAAAACATATGAACATAGTTCTTCAAATGAGAATAACGGGATGACAGATGGACGTCAAATACATTTGACACCTATTGTCCCTCAACCAAATTCGTGCAACAACATATCTCCATCGCAAGACGCGGTTGACGAGGGGGAAAATGTAGCCTTGAAAATAAGTGCATGGCACACGCTCGCAGATAAAAATGCCAAAGAACGACCAGATGGTGTTGGTAGCGGTCAGTTGCACCGTAAAGGGAAAAATTATAAGCCTGTTGACGAGAAAACAGTTCTTGAGATACAACAAAGGGGAAAGACCATCAAGAAGACGAAGAGATCTCAGGAAATTTCGGGGGATAAAATTCATTCACCCACAAAATCAGGACCCTTTCCAAGAGGAGTCTCTCCAAAAGGTTTGGACAAAGGCAACCTTTCGCCAAAACAAGGTCCACCCCTTTCCAATCCACCTCACCCAACCGCACAATGGAAGCAACCTATCCAACGGCGACAGTCACCACCACCATCATCATCGCCAAAACCGCCGTCGCAGGCGCAACCACCACAACAGAATGCACCGGAGAGAGATCATCCCAATATTCGACCCAAACTGGATAACACAGCAGCGGCCTTCAGTGAGCCTCCTCAGAACACTCTTAAGAAACCACCGACTGTCACGAAACCCCCCCAACAATCTCAATACCATCGTTACCAGTCACCTGCTCGTTCGCAAGAGTCCCTACCCTTCATTCCACCGGAATTTGATTCGACACCATACCGAAAGCAACCGTCTCCACTTCCTCTTGATCACCGAGGAGGTCGTAATGGCGATTATGAAGATCAAGAAGATTATGATCAAAGCAGTGAGGCAACGACTGAGTATTATGAGGATAGTGAGAATGAACTAGAGTATAACAAGAGTGGACCTCCTCCGATATTAAATGGCGATCGCGGCGAACTAGTTCTTACCATCAACGTGGAACTTGAAGAGGGCGAAAATCCTCAAACCATCTATGTTTATGTGGCCGATGATCCTTTGGATTTGGCACGAGAATTCTGCGTCAAATGGGCGGTTACAAATGAGGTGGTGGAACCGGCGCTGGCAGAGTTGATCAGAGAGGAGAAGGAGAAACGGTTAGATCTTGGCAGGTATACTAACTGAACTTCGTGATTCTAATCATAATTACAGAATGCGAGTATATTAAGTATGGTTGAATTGCTTGTGTCCTTAGTTCTGTCCGATCTCATTTATAAATAAAATATTAATATATAGATTTATTACTTTGCTATACATAAAGATTATCACTGTATAGAGCAAATGTACATTATTCTTTAATTTTTTCATATCTGTACAAGTTTTTTAAGAGTTTTCATACTTTTTGACCAAAAAAAAAAAAAAGATTCGATCACTCCCTGTAATTATATTAATAATATTTCAGAGGCCGTCAAACACTTTTTTTTTTTTTTTTTTTAATTGGTCGATTTGATAGCTGGTTACATATTTTACCTCTAAAGTTGAAAAGTGAAATAACGACCATGAAAGGTGATGTCATAAGTAGGAAGGTTTTCGTGTAACCTTACCGAAATTGTTTCTATGTAAGGAACGATCATCTGTTTTTACCGTTGAACTTTTTTGCCACGACCTTTTTTTTTTTGTAAAAAAAAAAAAAAAAAAAAGAATAAAACGAATAAGATTATATATAGTAAGTAGTCAGTATCTGGAAAATTTTTTCTCGTAATGTCAGATGACAAGTTGAACGAGGAGTCTTATATCCACTCCGCATCAAAGTTAAAAAGTACAATCATTGAACGCATTGCTCATCAAAGCATAATTGTAAAACGCATAGCACAACATCTGGATAAGCAACGGGACCGGTTCAACTTTTGCTTGGTGCTGAATGCTTGGTCACCTGCGGCGGTTAATGTATTATGGTCGGAACCGATATTCAATTCTCCCGAGTCTTTTCACTCCTTTGTTTCCGTGGTCAGGAAGGCGAGGGTATGCGCACTCAGAGTTCGCGTGTTGGACCTGTGCATTCCAGAGAATGAGGTCATGAGCTCTTTTGTACCCGTGTTGAAATCACTACGTCAAGAGCATCGTAAGATGCGCACT